TCTGCTTCATAGTAAGCATTTCATCTTTCATGCGACTCATTAAAAGCAGAACCATCTCCACCTCTATCATAATCTTTCACAACTAAACTTACTATAAAATAACAATATACAATATAGAGTAATATTACTATAACTCTATATAAAAATAATTGGGACTATTGGAGGATGATGCACCAACTATATGAAATTATTTTAGCAACTATTTTTCATTTCTAATGAATAAGAACTAGTTTTTATTACACTCGTCTACGAAACCGATACCGATCTGGTTTTGGTGGTTCTTTTCCAGCTTTCATCATTGAGATAATTCATGCTATTCCAGCACCAATAAGAAAACCAAAGAACCCACATGCAATATCACCACTACTCTTCCCCGTTACCTTACCAATAAAATAACCTACAACTGTAAAAAGGGGAACGATAGTCAAATATGGCCAGAAAGGTTTTCTATCTTCTCATTTTTGATGTTCAATTATTTCTTTTTGTCATTCATCGTAGCATCAACCACATTGCGTTCAATTTTCAGAACTATGCTCTCCAGTATGCTTGGCTCCATAGGTTCCTCCGTGGACAGTAGTTCCAGTCCCACCGCCGACTTCTTGGCTAACTCCACCGTAGGCACCTTTGGTATAACCCGAACTTTGTCCTGTCTGACTAGTTCAGATTATATCACCTTTATAAATAGCACTGCGGCAAGTATTACAGCGAGCAATTATTTCTTTTTCTACCATTAGCCAACAAATTTATTCACTAGATGGTAGTGAGGAATATTTTGTTTAATTCTTTTAGAGAGATTAAGTTCTGCTCTCTCTCTCCTTGTTAGTACACTAATTAATAACTGCTATGGAAAGAAAAGACTATTATAAAATATTAGGAGTAAACAACAACGCTACTCAGAAAGAAATTAAAAAAGCATATCATGAATTAGCATTAAAATACCATCCGGACAAAGGAGGGGATGCTGAAAAATTTAAAGAAATCGCTGAAGCCTATGAAGTTTTGTCTGACTCTAATAGGAGAAAAGATTATGATAGAGGTGGAGATGGTTCTGCTTTTAATGAGTCGCATGAAAGATGAAATGCTTACTATGAAGCAGA